TAGGTGCGTTTTGTAATCCTAGCCTTGCTATGTCCTAGACTCCTAGCTGTCCTAGCCTAGGTGCAATTTGTATTCCTAGCCTAGCTATGTCCTAGACTCCTAGCTTTTCTAGCCTAGGTGCGTTTGTAGTCCTAGCCATCGTCCTAGCCATCCTAGCCTATCTACCAGGTGCTGTTTTAGTCCTAGCCTACGTCCTAGCCATCCTAGCCTAGCTTTCGGAGCCTATGTGCATTTTGTAGTCCTAGGCCATCCTAGCCTAGCTTTCGTAGCCTAGGTGCGTGTTGTAGTCCTAGCCTGCGTCCTAGCCATCCTAGCCTAGGTGTGTTTCGTGGTCCTAGCCTTCATCGCCTTCATCCTAGCCATCCTAGCCTAGCTATGCCCTAGACCCCTGGCTTTCCTAGCCTACATGCCTTTTGTACTTCTAGCCTACGCTTCCTAGCTTAGGCGCGTTTTGTGGTGCTAGCCTACTTCCTAGCCATCGAGGCTTAGCCATGTCCTCAACTCCTAGCCTAGGTGTCCTAGAATCCTAGCCATCCTAGTCTAGCCCCGGGGCTCTAAGTCTATACATGGTACCTATATTGGGCTATTTGGAGCCTTAGGGTAGCTATGTCATAGACTCCTAGTCTAATTCCGAGTCCTCGTTTTCTTGGAGTCCTACCTATAGAGATCAGCTTTTCTTTTCTAATCCTAGCCTTCTTAGAATGGTCATACACCCCCTTTTAACGATGTATCTTCACATGGACATTATATTTAGACCCCATATATCCCTGTAACTGGAACCACATTTCAGTATGCCCGACTCACCCCATTAAAAACCGACAATATTGCAATGCTTCTTCAAGACATGTCAGGATACCCTGCATACTCCCTGACAAGGCATCACGGAAACTGCGAGGGAAACTCTTGTCCGATTTCTTCCACCTGGTCACTTGTGATCCGAGGCAGGTGCACCGAGACGTCCGTGCCAAAGCCTGCACAAATGGAGTGGGCTGTCAGAATCTGGGGCTTAAGGGGTCTAACCTAAACTCTGAAACTCTTGCGGATGAGCGGGTAGCAGGCGGGTGCGGGCCAGCATTGAAGTTGCGAAGCCCCTGCACCTTCAATTTGTGGTGCGTAAAGCCAAGTCTGGACATGAACGATGGACGAATGTCAGAAGCGCTGCGCGCGGCGTATCAGCTGCAAGTTCGACCTGAGTACACGCACAACGAAATGGAAAAGGGATGAAAAGAGCACCGCTGCGCCATTGCGCAGGGTTGTCCGCACTTGTGTATGCCTTCTCCTCTCAAAAGAACGCCGGAGCGCAATCTCGCAAAATTGTGCGCCTTTGCACGGCTTGCGCATCCTGATATTGCTTGTGTGCGCGCCCTTGTCCTGCTATGACCTGGGCATGGTTTGTTGCTAGATAGGTGAAGGGGGCATCTGTGTGTGACAGCGTGAACCGAGAGCGGGCTACAACCTACGAAGCATCCTCTCCCACTGACACACCTGCTTCAGGGCCCTTGCTTGATTGAACGGGTCAATTGAACTGAATTGTCGCCAGTCGGGCGCAACTGCGCGAATTTTGGGTTAAAGGCCTGTCACACAGGCCTCCGTCACCAGGCTCCAAATTATCTGGCCAATAGGGAACATCAGGAAGTGTACTTGGACTTACATGTCCCGCTAAACTATACCTCCTTAAATTTACCCCAAACCGTAACTTTTAGGCTCCAAAAATAGCCGAATACAGTCATCATCTATATACTTTGAGGCCCCATACAAGTACGATTTGTGGACTCAAAGTCCCGGGAAAGCCCCGCTTACACAGCCTTTCTGAACCTTTATGTACCCACTCCCTCCCACTTTACTCAGGCTAGCCTGGCCTACGTAGATAGCTCATGAAGCGCGGGTGCTACCTACAATACTGGGAGCCTCCCATAAGTAAAGCCCAATACCATGCGCGTGTCTCCTATAACTGGATGCAACTATATAAGAGACTAACCGGTATTCTTCGGCTGTAACCCAGTTTCCTCCCGGCTGGGGAATAGATGCGTCACTGTTACCAGTTCATTCTGCATGCCCCTTTCCGTTCGATTCTCCACCACCTGTTTATAACTTGGGTTCATCCCTGCCCCGAACCTTGGATGCAAACAACCCTTAAGCCTAGAACCGGAACCCTAGAGCCCAAAACCCTAAACCTTGTAACATGCCACTCTTAACCCAAAACCTTCCCCAGCCAGGCCATAACCAAACCCTCTTTCAGGCGCAAACCCTCCCCACGCCAGGCCCAAACAGCCGAGCCGCCAGAAACAGGATTGGAGACGCTGGCGGTGTTACAGAAACACGCGTTAATTTCTTTAGTGAAAAACTGCCACAGCGGCTCTCTGATGAGAAAGAAGAAATATCGCAACTGCTCTAACTCAGCCAATGCCCCAAACTACCCCGGTGAGGCCCAAACCCGGCACAACCGAAACCTCCCAGCTCATGACCCGGCTAGGCCAAAGCTAAACCCTGAACCAACCCTCCCAAAGCGTCCATGTAGGTATATGGTATATACTTAAGGCCCAAAGGGGTAGCCATATACCTACTTTCAGGCCCAAGTACCTACCATATTCCCTAAACCCTAAACCCTAATCCCTAAACCCTATACTATATTCCTACTCTTTACCTACTTTGAGGCCCAAGTACCTACCATATAGCTACATGGACCCTTTGGGCCTACAGGTGAGCCCAAGTACCAAATAATCGTATACTTACCCCAAGGCTATACCATAATTACTACTGTTGATACTAAAAATCCTGCATGACCTGAGTATACTATAGTACCATAATTCCCAAGGTATTAGGTACTTAGGGCCATGCAGGATTTTTACTATCCACCGTATTACCCAAAACCCAAGTACCGAATTATTGGGTACATGGACCCTAAACCCCAAACCCTAAACCCTAAACCCTAGATATCCCCTTTAAAGGGCCCTAATCCCTCAACCCTATATACCCCCTTCCAAGGTACCTTTGGGTACATGAACCCTCTGGGTGAGCCTGGGTAGGAGGTCAGCTCTAGCTTCCCACCCAGGTAGCGTGCGTGTAGGCGGGAGAGGGGTAGTCCTTGGCTAGACTTTGGGGTTTAGTGTTTAGGGCGTAGGGTCTTAATGGTTCAGGGCGAGAACTGAGGGTTTATGGCGTAGGGCTCTTTGTTTAGGGTTTAGGGCTTGGGTAAGCATGGAGAATTAAATGGAAACTGGAGAATGACGTGGAAGCTAGGGTTGTATGGGTATATGGGGATATAGAGGGGAATGGAAAAGAGCTGGAAACTACGATGCTTTCCTACCTAAAAATCCCTATACCCTATCCCTGTTTGGGGTACCTACTTTTGAAAAGTGAACATACTAGACATAAAGTAACTTATCCAAAAAGGGGAATGCTAATATGTCATCAAGAGGGTGTCAATCATAATATATATCTATATATATATATATTGTTGCCGAGCCAGAAAATCCCGGAAGATAGCGTTCGCTTTCTAACAAGTTCGGAGCCCACAAGCCCAAAAACATACAAACGAGTTCCATCGGTAATAGTAAGGGTGTGACACTAATGCAATTGTCCTCCCGCAAAAATGCTAATTTCATGTTCTTAGAGGTGAGATGGTATTTAGATGTTCGCTACTTGTACTACAAGGTATGACCACTGCCTCAGCGATTTATTATTGCGACC